AGGTTATTAGGTGAAACACAAAGGATACACTGCATTTATTGGCGTAATGCTAGCTAGTGTAACAAATGGACACAAAAATATACAATGACCTAACTCAATAGACATTTATTTCTTGTTGCTGTCAATCACCCTGAGCAGTTCTGGGTGGGCAGAGGAGGAAGGGGTTGGGGGAACTGTGCTCCACCCAGTCATTCAGGGATCAACACATGACTTCCAAGGTAGCTTGGTTGTCTCCACACTACAGGTGGAAAAGAAGAGAGTGGACAACTCCCACCACTTCTTAAGCTCCTTAGCTACAAAGTGACACAACTTACTTCCTCTCGCTCCCCTTTGGTTAGAAAAAGTGAGTCACATGATCTGACCTGGATGCGTGAGGAGCTGGGAAATGTAGTCCATGGCTAGGCAGACACTTCCCAACAACTCTCTACTACGAAAGATAAGTGTGAATGTTGATGGACAGATAGCTGTGTCTGCATATAAAGCCTGTGTTCTAATAAAACCCTCAACTGATTTGACTGGAGTGTGTTTAGAAGAGAACACCTGACAGAACATGGATGGGTGTTTAATACCCATTCATATCATATGAACTCCTCCTGGGGTAGTTATCCAGGGTAACTGGGGTATACTTGGTGCATGGTTGGAGTTACCTTAAGGTCACATGAAACTTTCATAGGGTGCAGCCTCAGGGATAGGACTTGAGAAGACTGAGCAGAAGACCATAGGAAGGGTGGTCCCTGGTGTCTGACTACAATCCTTACTTGGTGTGCAGGAGGCTGTGGGGCGAGCAATGGAGATGGGGAGAGGACAAAACAAGGTGCTCCGGCTTCGCCTTCTGTTTTCATCAATGGCACAAATACAATTTGGCTGGGACTCCATTCTCTCTCATACATTAATTCTCTCCATCCCTTGAAGAAACAAATTTTTCCAATACTCTTGAGGTGTTCTCATTTGAACTAAACAGGTAGTTTTGACTTGTTTTAAAAATATTACATGTCATTCTAGACATGTAAGTCTAAACATATAGACATTCTAGACATCCAGGACACGGAAGTCCAAACATAACTCAACTTATTTAAAATAGTACATGTAATGGTAATCCTAGAAACTCTAGAGAAAGTTTTCTCCGTATAATTTAAACAAGATCACTAGGGTGAATTGTCTTGCTCAATATCCATTCAATATCCTCCAAGTATACCTTTTTGTATGGTGGAGGCTGGAATGATTAAAAACTACATTTCCCAGAATACTTTGCATCTAGGATCCGCACACTGAACAATTCGATTGATCCTTGAGAGATATGGAAGACAGAAATGAGGTGGAGGCCATCTTCCTGCTACTTTTGTCTGGGGAGAGGGGTGTTGAGTTTTCTCCCCTGCAGTGATGTTCCTGGGTCCAGATATAAGTTTTACGGAAGTTAAGAAGCAGTTGCAGTGGCAGCAGAAGTCAAATTCAGTGTTCCAGGGCCAGTTCCTAGCCTTGAGGGTGCAGAAGAGCAGGGGCAGCACCAGTGACAATGGCTCACTGGACTGTAGTTGTAGTGGTGCATGCTTGAACTCGACTATCCTAGAAGTGGTTTCTTGATTTCCCTGCCTTTCTGACTACTGCAGAGGCAGCGGCTCCCCTGGAGCCATTCAGCAGTCATGTCCAAGAAGTCATGTCCTGGAAGGGATTCCTGGAGGCCAGCCTAGAGCCTACCCCTCCAGCCCTCCCAACAATTTTGTACACATTATTTCCCAATTACATCTCTTCCTGCTTAACATAGCTAGAAGAGTTTTGGTTTTCTGCAACTGACACTAGTACAAGACACGGCCTTTTGACGAGCTTTTTGTGTTAGATTCTAGCCATCCTCCAAAGCTGAGAGGAATCCTAGTTCCCTGGCCATCTTCATAGGATCCTTCCTTTTTCTGAACTCCTTTTGCTGCTTTAGAGTGGCATGTGACAAGTTATTTGTATACTTTTCTATCCTCGGTTTTAGTAACTTTCAGTTTCAGTGTTATTGTTTACAAAAAAATAGAAAACCACTTAATGTAGTATTAAAGGGATAATTTGTTACAAGAATAGAGAAGCATCTCACAGAAAACCAAGACGGGACCTGCAGTCAGTCTCCATAGAGGAGAAATCAAGAAGTAGAAAGGCTTTGAGAAGCCAGGCAGCTCTCCTTTTTCTGCTTCCCCCTAAAGCCATGTAGTCTTTCACTTCTTTCTGCACATCTGTATCTTTCTCCTTGTTGTCATCCTTCTTTTTTCTAGACTGGTTTCTCTGTTTCTCCTGACATGTTCATGAATTTGTAGGATATGGCAGAGACTGCTAGTTGTCTACCCAGTGTACTCTGTCTCCTGTCCCCTCCCCTCAATTTTGATAGGGCACGAATCACTTGAAATAAATACTACATTATTCCCAGACTCCCTTGCAGCCAAATGTTGTCACATGGCTACATTCTAGCCAATGAAATGGCTCTCTGAAAGGAAGAAGGTGAGCCTTTTTCTTCTTTTATCCTTTTGAGTGAAGAGCAGATGTGGTGGTTGGAGCTATGGCCACCATATTTTGATCATGAGAATAAAGAGATCAGAGATTGTGGATGCATGAGTTGGAAAGATCCTTGAGGAAGTGGAGCTACCATTCAGGCTCTTGAGTACCTATCTTCAGACTTCTTTTACGTGAAGAACTAAATTTCTATCTTATTTAAGCCGCTGTTATTTTGAATTGCTTTTTACATGCAACTAAACCCTAATCCTAACTGATACACAGGTCCTCCCGTTTCATGCATAACAGAAAATAACTAGTGTCTCTTTTCAATTATAAGCTCCCGGGATAGACTGGAAGAGCTTAGCTTCTGTATCTAGCTGTCTTCCAATTAACAACGGCCAAGGGAACAAAGGTCCATAATATAAATAAGATACGGGAAGTTTACTCATGTAAACTGTAGGGGTTGTTTTTATAGAAAGAGGCATATAAGTTGGGAAGATATTTCAAAAGTTGTCTACCATACTCCTTCTCTTCAGTTATAAGCTAATTCCTTTTTCAGCTTTATTCTTAAATGTCTTCCTCTTTGTAAATTACTGACTATATTTCTATATTTTTACATAATTCTTCAGATACTTACTTTTAGCCATAGTTTAAGGAGTACCAAACCCGAGTGGAAATAAGTTTTGTTATGGCCACTAGCAAAGCATGCTACTTACTTAGTTTTAGTCTTCCAGCAAAGAGTCTAGAAATCAGACTCTTGATTCTCAGAGTCAGGTAGAGTCCCACAGTTCAAGTCCCTATAAATAAACCAATACCTCATCAGTTCTTTAATTCAACACCTTATAATGGGAAAGGATTTGAAATTGCAGAATGCACATTCTAAAATAAGTAACTGCCTCTTCCCATGCAGTCAACTCAGTAATATTATATAATTTATTTATACAACAATTACATAATCATATAATTTGTATAATTCAGTGGGAGGGTGATTTTTAATTGTTAATTTTTGTAAAATAATTATGTAATTGTTCTAGAAACATCAACCATGCAGTATACAAATCATAAATGGAAGTATCTCTCTTTGTCAACCCCATGGTAGTGTCGTGTTCTGTAGTGGTGTTCTTTCAGTCATCTTCACTGGTTTTTTTGATTGTTTGTTGTTTTTTCTTTTTTTGCTGAGGAAGATTAGCCCGGAGCTAATATCTGTTGCCAGTCTTCCTCCTTTTTTGCTTGAGGAAGGTTAGCCCTGAGCTAACATCTGTGCCTATCTTCCTCTATTTTATATGTGGGATGCTGCCACGGCATGGCTGATGAGTTGACTAGGTCTGTGCCTGGGATCCGAACCCACTGGGCCACTGAAGCAGAGAGCACCAAACTTAACCACTAGGCCACAGGCCGGCCCCATCGTCTTCAGTGTTTTGTATGTTATGGGAATGGGTGGGGTATTTTTAATTTATTTGGTACCAAGAATCATTTTCTGCTTGGACTCTAACCAGGAAGTAATGTTTCAGTGCCTATTACTAGACACGCCCAGTGTGACACACTCAAAATGCCCTCCTGCTTCTGAAGGTCAGGGTGCTACTCTCTAAGCCCATGATGCTCGAGCTTATGGACTCCATTGACTTTACTTCTGCATCCCTTTATTCATCATTCCCAACAGCATTTGCCGAATCCGTGCTCTGGGCTGGGACGGGGATTACACAGAAGTAGAAGGCACGCATGGTTGGTATGAGAACTGCCTAAAGTTTGATTCTCTTCTGGACACACACTGGTTTGTATTTCATCACCCACTTGAACTCAAGCCTTACAGATTGACTCATTTGGCCCATAAAATATGAACAGAAGTGAGATGGATCTCTTCTGGATGGAAATGTTAAGACTCAGCATGTAGCTCACCACATCTTTTTACTCTGCCTCTGCAATTGTGGAAGCTGAGATAGAAAAGGTTGGTGCCTCTGTTGGTCTGGGTCTCTCAGTAACTACCATGAGCACAGCCCCTTAGTCATTCATGATGGGCAATTAGCATAAGTGAGAACTTTTGTATTTTAAAGCAGATAGGGTATCCCAACCAATAGAACCTTTTATAGGGTAACCCAACTGATAGAACCTTTTCTTGAGGACCTCACAAACTCTTCACAAGTAGGGAGACAATATGGAACCACAGACCAGAAATGATACTGTACGAAACCAAGTAAGTGCTCAAAGTTCGAGGAAAATAAGATGTGATAATCTCTCCTCTAGTCTCTCCTATTCCTGTATTTCATTCCGGTTTCCATAGCTGAACACTTTCAGTCTCGTAGCATTAACCAAACCTCCCAAAGTCTCAGGTGGGCTACCTCTAAATGGAGTAGTCTACAAGACTGGAATAATATGACATTAAAATTTTTTTTTTAAATTTTGTGGGGCCAGCCCCAGTGGCCTAGTGGTTAAGTTCAGCATGCTCCGCTTTGGCAGCCTGGGCTCAGTTCCTGGGCATGGACGTAGCTCCACCACTTGTCTATCAGTGGCCATGCTGTGGCGGCGGCTCACATACAAAAAGAGGAAGATTGGCAACAGATGCTAGCTCAGGTGAATCTTAAAAAAAAAAAATTTGTGTATGTGAGCATGCACCCCAAAACTGAACCCTAACATTTTGGCTAATCAAGAACATTTGCAGCAGAGGAAATATTTTTCTCCCAATTTCATATACATTCATTTTCTTGATGAACAATTTCAAAATAAGGAACTTGTGTAGCTGGTAATAATATCAATACAACAGGAAAAAACAGTTTATATTAACTGGATATTCTCGTTTTTACTTTTTATAAGGCATACAGTAAAATATATTAGAAGAGCATATCTTAAACCTGTCCTTTTTTTTCTTTTAGTTTTCAAGTTTTCATCTGTCTATTTTCATGCATAAATTTATCTAATAGAAGCTATAGACTTTTTCCACCTTCCTTCCCCCACCCTATCGTAATGTAAAATTATCCTCCCTTCCCATAATAGTTATAATAATGCCCTGCCCTATTGGACTCTGATCTTCTTTTAGCAATTCATTTTTCATTAAGTGCTAAACTTTAACTAGAAGACTGAGGATAAAAGGCAAGACAGTGCCACACAAACAGTCGCTTTGACAGGTTTACTGACTGAATCAGGAAGTGACCATGACCTGCTGTGAAGGATGGACATCCTGCAATGGATTCAGCCTGCTGGTTCTACTTGTGTTGGGGGTAATTCTCAACGCCATACCGCTAATTGTCAGCTTAGTTGATGCAGACCAAGTTTTTCAAAACCCCATCTCTTGCTTTGAGTGGTGGTTCCCAGGAATTATTGGAGCAGGTGTGATGGTGAGTAATATTTATTTGACTTGATTTAGAGAAAGGCCTGCCTGTTTTACCAAACTCCTGAAGACCACATTTCAGCCTTGCAGTGAGCTATGTCTCGGCTAAGATAAGTGAGGAGCAGTGGTATGTGGACTATAATGGTTATCAGTGAAGAGTGACAATTTAAATAAACTATGTGGTATAGGCTAGGGAGCTGGGCAAAAAAGTAAATAAATAAATTGATAAGAGTTGGTTGGGTTATTATGGATCACATTTCTTCATATTAGGGCTGCTCTTCCAAGCTTTATAGTTAGCATTAGGGACCTTCTAACTTCATTCCCTCAACTTTCCTTCGCCACTATCAGTCTCTAAGTATTTACAGGGCATAGAGTAGGAGCAGGAAGTGCTCCGCAGGAATGGGAAGAAATATTCCCATGCACGATGAATATCCTGGATGATAATTGTGAGGGACAAATATGGCACTGCCTGCACCGAAGAACGTTGGCCTAAGAGATTTGGGACTTAAACCCTGGCTCTCTGACTTCAGGGACTTTCAGACTTAGATCTTACATACAGCCCAGAACATCACTGTGCTTATTTAATGCTAAGTTTGATCATTATTAATCGGTCTACCTTTGTTGAAGTCTGCCATAGAGCACTGAGTACAGAACTCCCCAAGGTACCTGATCATGAATCACCTGAGGCGCGTGTAATAGATGTAGATTTACAGACCTTCTCCTGGGGATTCTGATGGAGTAGGCCTGGGGAAGACCACTTGTGTAGAGGAATAAATAATGTTTTCAGACTTGGCACAATAGCTCAGCTCCAGTTCTGTCTCCAATATGTTACTGTGAGCAAGTCATTTATTCTGTGATTTTGTTTTCATATTCATAAACTGGGGATGTAGATATTGAACTTGGAACACTCAGCATTCAAGAGGCTTGTTTTTCTTTGCTTACCTCTTGGGTGCTACCTAAGGGGGTCTGATTAATGCTGAGAAATGAGTTTTTGTTTGGATGTGTGTTTCAATGAGTTACTGCTGCTGGTCCTATCCCAGACTTATAGGAAAACACTCTTGAGTCATTATATATTAAACTTTAGATAAAAATTTGTCCTTTGGCTGGTACACTGGACTTGAGGCCACTCTGGCATCAAAAAGTCATTCTAGGAAGCATTCCCCAAAAGTCGATGGTTTCTTTTCCTTTGACATCATGAGCAATCTCTTCACCCTGCGTTAGGTAGAAAGAGCCACTTAGAGAAAAAGCTTTTGGAAGGCTTTAGGCTATTTCTTCAAATCACCATGAAAGTTCCCTCAGGCTGAGAGAAACCACAGAGCTCAACAGAGTGATGCCACTGCAAATGCATGTGTCTGTTTTCTGCCCTTCTAGAGGCTTCTCTCTACTTGAATAGCTTAAGCTTCCTTTGCATCTGCTTAGACCAGAAGGCAGGAGCAGCTGTCGGATTCTAACCAATAATGGCAATTTCCATGGAGCTTCTAAAAGTTCCTATGCTAAAACAATCCTCTTAGAATAACTCCTGTGGCTTTAGCCACAAATTGGCTCTACTACAAACTCCATCACAATTAAACAAAAAATGTCTTGCTAGCATGAAAGGAGGCTGAGGTGATGATGGCCCAATACATTCCATGTGTTGTTCTTTTGGGAGGCGGGGGAAGGAGAGAGGGGAAGACAGAGAAAGACACAGAGAGACACCGTGCGAAGTGCTAACTGGCTTCATACTTTACACTGTTATCTCATTTAACCTCTATAATAATCTGGCTGAGCAGGTTATTATCATTTTAACAGACCAGCAAACAGAACGTTAGGAATGTTAACAAAGTCACACAGTAGATGTGAAAGTCAATTCAAGATTTATCTGATTGCAAAGCTCTGTTTTCCACCAATATTAGCACCATAATCCTCAACATCTGTCTCAGGCTGATAGAGAGGAAAGATATAATCCGTAACTGAATCCATAAACTTTAGTGACCAGGAAGCTGAAACACAGAAAGCTTACATAAATCTGTGAAAGTTTCAGAGGATCTGGACTTCCTTGTCCCATGACTAAATTTACTTTTTATCACTCTCAATAAATATTAACAAAGGGTATCACACCAGGCCATCTCTGTTACTCAGTATTGTAGAATGTCATCAAAGAAGCAAACAACTCTTTGAAAAATTCAATAGGCAGTTCATGCATTGGGCCCCAGACTCCACTCTAGGCTCACAAGCAAACAGGTACGTGATGGAAGGGCTCAGAACACAGGTGTATTTTCATGGTCCTTGGCTATGCAGAGAATGTGGAAGAAGATCTTTTTCAAAGGGAATCATGTCCTTTATAACATCTGTCAAAATACTGACTAATTCAAAAGACTGAACTCTCAATGCACTTGTAAATACATAGAAATATTAATAAAAAAGAAGAAATCACTGCCTGTGATAAGCACTTTTGTCATAGTTCTTGAAATCTGTCCAAAATTGCTGTAGCATTTTAAATTAGTATTGCTTCCAAAACAGGAGATTTTGCAGGAAGTAGCTGATAGTAAAAACTGTGGAATTCACTTCAGAAAATAATTCATTTTATGGTTTTATGACTTACCCAAAACAGAGGGGAAGCTTTTTGTCTTTGGAAACCATGACTAAAAGTCTTACGTAATTAATTATCCTCAACTGTTATCTGCTAAATGGATAAATCAATACACGTTCCCTTTCCAAGTACTAAAAAAGAGACTTGAAACGTTTGCTCTTAAAAATATTAAGGCCATTTTATTTTATATGAGATTAATTGTAAGCCTGATCTTAACCATGCTTACTCATTGAGTTCACTTACTACATAATGGTAATTCATCAGTTATTATAGTCTGAACAGAGAACAAATTGCTGAATGTTAAACAAATTAGAAGGTATTTTGTGTAACAAGCATTTGCAAAATGTAGTTTTCATATTCACGATGAGCTATGGCTTTGTGTGTTTCTCTCATGTTCAAGTACTTAGAGGACGCCCAAAAGTTTAAATTCTATCAGGGTTTTAAGGGCTTAAAGCTCCTCTGTATACACTTCATTTGTAAAATCATATACCTTATTTCTAAGACTGAATAAAGGATGGGTTTCCGTAAGGAAAAATGAACACTACTACTTCTTTTCTTTATAAAAACAAATGACTATCAAGACTTAATTTCACAAAAACTCACTCATTCAAATATGCTTAAGAATTGAAGCGAAAGAGTATTCTCATAATGACTCATTTTTGACAGCTTATCTGGAAGATTTAGAATTCAGTCACACCCACAGACTTTCACATTTTAATATAAACAGCCCCTCTAATTTCCAGACTTCTGAATGGGCAAAATGGCTGAAACACAGTGAGTTATCGTTACTCATAATGGCCACAAAGATGTGTTTACATGCCATGAAGTCAGCTGGGTGGGGATTCATATACTAAAGTTACTGTTACTTTATAAAATCCCTTTGCAAGGGAAGGGATCTATGAAGGTAAATATTCAGCATCTCTGAAATAAATTAGTCCTCAAATTAGTTAGCAGAGTTTAATTTACATCAATAAGGAAATGGAATGATCAATCCATTTAAGTTATAATTTAATGTTGCTCCAACTTTCTTTTAATAGAGTCCTTAATTTTCTAAATCAGGGGTTGGCAATTTTTTTCTGTAAAGGGTGACACAATGAATATTTCAGGCATTGCGAACCAGACAGTCTCTGTCACAACTATTCAAATCCACCGTTGGTTTGTGTAAGCAGCCACAGACAATTTGTAAGTGAATGGGCATGGCTGTGTTCTAATAAAACTTTATTTATAGAAAAGAGGTGGGTAGGTCATAGTTTGCCAGTTCCTGCTCTACATGATTTGTTCCTTAAGCTCTGAAGTCAGTATAGCTTATAAGCACCACAAAAGAAGTTTAATCTATAAATGCTGACACTTACTTGGGGGCTAAAATTTCTTTGCCCTCTGATTCCAGGCTCTCAGCTATGCCCCAGAGTGGCTGGGCTGCCATACATATGTGCGACCTCTGAATTATAAGGGTATTGGTGTTCAAGGCAATATGTCAGCAAAGCCTGATAAAAATACAAAGCGTTCTCCACAAGTGACATGGAGTCAGCACGTAGTCAGAGTGGGGTGAAGTCTGTCAGGAAAGCTGCCTCGTAAGGCGTAAATCTTAGAACTGTTCTGAAAGAACAAAGGTAGACATGGTCTTGGAAGAAGGAAGCAGGGAAGGAGCAGTTAGAAGGAGGACAATGAGATGAGTAACAGTGGTGGTTGTGGGGAGGATGACAATGAAGAAACTCCATACAGGAAGGGAGGAGAATTATAAAAATTGGCCATTGTGGAAGAGTGGTTAAGAGTCTGGACTCTGGGACCCAAATGCCTGGCTTTAAATCCCAATTCTTCCACTTTCTTAGGTGAGTTACTCTAACTTTCTGTGCCTCAATTTTCTGCCCCAGCAAAATGGGGATAACAAGAACACCTACCCCACAGAAGTGTTATGAGGCTGGCATGAACTAAAACATGTATGTGCACTATAACAGCGCCTGGCCCATAGTTAGAGCTCAAGAAAATGTTAGAAAACAAGAGCAGAAGGAAAGAGAGAACTACTCAAGGGCAGCTGTGCTGAGATGGCAAGAAAACCTTCTAGCTAATATTTCTTAAGTGGGAGGAAGTAATTCACAATCCACTCTTCAATGAAACTTCTCCCAGTAAGAATTTCTAGTCATAGCTGCTGACTAGATATTACTAAAAATTTAAACCTAAGCTCTGAGAATGTGGCATCCTTTCTTACAGCTTTACTCAGCAATATGTATTTCCGTTGACATAGAATACAGTAAATACAAGATTTCTGCATATCAATGTAAAGTAAGATCATCATGTATCATGGAGGTAGGAGCAGAAAGGAGAATGTGGAGAATTTGGGTCCTAGCGAGGTGGTGGTGACCCTGGGAGTGAGGACAGTTAGGGAAGTGGGAGAGGGTGGTGACAGAATTCCTAGTTCCCAACTGCCAGACAAACAAAATCATAAATTTCCTTTCTGGATGCTTGCCAGATTAATTCATACAACTTTTGGGAAATTGGACAAGTGGCTTCAGATTATAGTAACTGAAAAAAAAAGGGAATTTTGGATTATGTAACCAATTCTTTCAGAACCATTCCTTCCAAAATAATAAATAATTCATTCTAATCTATTTAAAATCCAAATCTCTCTAAAGATGATTCAGAGTAAAGTAAGAATGTAGATGGAAGAGTTTGAAACTGCTATCCTGAAATCCACCATCCCTCTCCCTTCTTTAATCTTTGTGGTCAAGACGGGGATCACAAAGCTCACAAGATCAAGGACATTGCCAAATATCCTTTCTGTTCTCTTGAGCTGTGACTTCCCACAACTGGTGGGAAATGGAGGGTGGAGATGACTGCTTTTTCATCTGATAGAAGTAATAATATTCCTCTTTCCTGTTGATGTAATTTCCAGGTCATCCCAGCAACATCAATGTCCTTGGCAGCAAGAAAAAGAGCATGCTGCAACAGTAAAGTTGGGGTGAGTGTGGTGCGATCGGGCTGGGAGCAGAAGCTCACGAGCAGTTACAGACATCTAAGCAGAGCCGCCGAGGCAGCAGCATCTACCGCATCGTATGTGCTAGCAGCAGGCACACATCTCAGAAACATGCTGTTTGGAACGATTATATGATATGGAAAGTGTGAAGCTGTTTTTTCTTCCATAAAGATTTAGCTTTGGAGCCACCCTAGGGAGCCTTCCGCAACCTTCAGTTCCACCAGTCTAAAGGTTTTTCAAAGAAAGGCGATTTAGAAGTCACACTCAGAGCTGTGATCAATTTCATAATACTCAAATACTTATTACTTTTGTGGTGTGTATAAAATACTTAGAGAAACGTATCCTCTGTTCTCCCATGCATATGAAAGATTGATTTGCTGGGATTGGAATGATAATTGTCCTTATCTAATTAAACAAAGAGACAACAGTTATTTTTCCAAACATTTAGCATGTGCCTACTATGTATAAAATTGTAACTAAGTTAAAAGTAAATTAATATTTATTAACTTTCTGTCACTATGCACAGAACACTTTCAAATACGCTATCTTATTTAATTCTCTCAAAGCCCCTAAGTGGGAAATATTATGATCTCTGTTTTATTGACCAAGAAACTGATCCTCAGAGAAAGCAAATAACCTGCCAGTAGCACAGCTAGTAGGTAGACTTTCATCCAAATCCATCAGACTCCAAAATTCACCATCTTTACACTGTTTCTGCCATGAGCATTGTTATGAAGTAACACTGAGGGCCCTCCTAATTCTCTAAGGAAGGGGTGGATTGATAAACAAGCAGGCACAGTAAACATTCTTGGCTGAGTGTGAGGCCTTAAAGAGATGGTTCCCAGCCTGATGGGAACATCAGAACTAGCTGGGAAGATCTTAAAAATACCAAAGCCTGGTGGCCCCCACAGATTCTCATGAGGATTTTTCAAAAGCACCATAGGTGACTCTAACGTGCTCCAAAGGGTGAGAATCACTGTTTAAAAGGGTACACATTTATATCCATACTACATACTTATATTCGTAACAGAAAATATATTTTTAAAAATTACCTTTTTCTGACATTTGACATTTATCTAGGATTATAATTACTCTGCTATGTATTTATGGTCTTTCTTTGTTCCTGATACACTGCACTTATTCAATAGATATTAGTTTTCAGTTTTCCCTGTCACTGTTCTTTTTAAACTATAATAATTTGGAGTTTGACTTCACATTACCTCTATACTGTACTCACAATATTCTTTTTTTTTAAAGATGTGCTCTTTATTTTTATTTATTTATTTTTTGAGGAAGATTAGCCCTGAGGTAACTGCTGCCAATCCTCCTCTTTTTTTTTTTTTGCTGAGGAACACTGGCCCTGAGCTAACATTCGTGCCCATCTTCCTCTTTATGTGGGACACCTACCACAGCATAGCTTGCCATGCGGTGCCATGTCTGCACCTGGGATCCAAACTGGCAAACCCTGGGCCGCTGAAGCAGAATGTGCAAACTTAACTGCTGTGCCACCAGGCCGGTCCCACAACATTCTTGAGAAAGACATCCTGGGATATGTCTGAATCCCTAAACTCAAAAATATCAGAACCCTCACACTGATTTTTCTCCCAAATCATATTTCCATTAAGAATCTGTTCTTTCCTGCACGTGTCCTTTCAAGACAAATTAGTCACCTTTTCAGTGATTAGGTTTTCTCTCTTCTTTGAGGACACAGTGAGTTGAGAATAACGAAGCCACTGTTTCACGCAGGTTTTGGGCTTAACTCACCAGAAGGTTTTGCTCCCCCATTCTAACCTTGGAAAGACTTGGAATTTCTGCTTCAGCAACATTACAGATTATTACACGCCGAGGAGCTGCAGGGGCTCTGGGAGGGCCTGGGGGGCCCTGGACAACACTGCTCATGCTCATAATAATAGTGGTGATGACTCCCTAATTACAATCGCCAGTTACGTTGATTAGATGCAATCAAGAGTTCTTAGCCACTTTCTCACTTGGCGGTAGTCATGTGAGGACTGGTGTTTAAGTCACACCTCCTGTCTTTGAAACCTAGATAAGACCAAAGCAGCACAAAAGTGACAAAGGCCAGATCTTGGGAGGGATGGGGGTGGTCACCAAGGCTTGTACCCTATTTTAACTGTTCCTTGCTCCTTCCCTTTTTCCAGTTCTTGATTTTGTTTCTGAATACTTTGGTTTTGCTGAGTCATTTAAATGAAGCCCCACTCTAAGGGAAAATGCCGATCCCTGGAACTACTTTCCAAAGCCAGGTCCCTCCGTAGTGATGAGAAGTCAGAAATAACAGATGACCAACATATAAAGAGCGGCACTTCTTGATGGGCAAATTTAACTAACTTGCACAGGCCACAGTAGTGTGGAAGAATCTGGACCTGAATTAGGCTCCAAACCCACGATTCTGCGCTCTCAGCTGGAAGAAGTACACTGTAGTGATTAAACCCTGAGCACTAGTGTTTAACAGCTGTGAGACCCTGATGAGTTTGTCAACCTCCGTGAACCGCAGTTTTCTCATCCATAAAATGAGAATAGTAACAATAGCTATCTTTTGGGGTTATTGAAAGGATTGTAAAGTCCAAGGTCCCTCAACACACACTGTAGAGGCAGCCACTGAGCCTGCCTACTCATCAAAGGTAGATCTGAAGAGCACAATACGCAAACCCTCTGGGAACTGCAGTGTTGTCCCATTGTTCTAGAAAATTATCCCTTCACTTTATTTCTGCAGATTTTAAAATAGTCATAACTGTCACTGACTAACGACTTCACTGAAACAACAGAGCTACTTTCTGGAAAACACACACATACATCAACTTTCATTCCGGCCATAAGATTCCCTGTTGCCAAATTTCATGGTTTTCCTGCCTTCTGCGACTCTGAGTCATGAAAGGAAAGATGCTTAGATGCCCACAATCTTTGCCCTCTAACACAGTGGTTCTCAACCAAAAGTGATCTTGCATCCCTTGCCCCCAAGGGGACAGTTGGCAATGTCTGGAAATATTTCTGGTTGCTACAACTGGGCAAGTGTGTCCGAGTGCTACTGGCATCTAGTGGGTAAAGCCTAGGGATGCTGCTAAACATCCTACAACACACAAGAAAGGCCCCAACAGCTACATGCCCACATGCCAGTAGTGCCATGGTTGAGAAAGTCTGTTCTAACACTACATTGTTGATTGATCACCGCAGGATGCTGACTACTGGCCACTTACAACATCAGGGCCAAATCCAGATTAAAGATTTGGGAGTCAAGAGACCAGACATCAAAACGTGGGTGGTTAAGATCTAGTCAAGGGTCTATGAAGTAGGAAGTACAAGGGATAGGGAGGAGGAAGCAAATCTCAGTGGTCAGTTGAGATAGACAAGGCTTGGAGATACAAAAGTTCAGAATTTTCAGAAACAGTGGCAAGACTAACAATCTTTTAGTGAGTCTAATCAAATGGCAGAGACTTTGTCCTCTGCCTTCTTTTATAACTCATACTTAGTCAAACTGTGAGCTTAAGATTTAGGACTATAGGGTGACCAGAGGATGGCAGCGGTTGATTGAAAAGACTGCATATGCTGCTGAAACTTGAAACAGACCAAGAGTATGTCATAACATGTGCAAATGTGCCTACTTTATTTTTCAGATGTTTCTTTCCTCGCTTTTGAATATAATCACAGTCATTGGTGCTGTGTATTGCATGTTGGTATCTATCCAGGCTCTCGCAGAAGGTCCTCTCATCTGTAACTCTCAAGGCAACAGTACTTCCAGTTGTGAATTTTCATTTAAAAACTTAAGGTGAGTAATCTGCCCTTCACTGACTGTCTGACACAGCTGCAGCTAGTTAGATTAGAAGTGTGTTGACACAGTGCCATGTTTTTCTTTGATGAAATTACTGGGTCAAACAGATTCTTAGGGATTCAGCACAGTAATCCCAACTGACACCATCTCATGGAAATGGAGGAACCACTGCATTAGAATGGTTTGGGTACAGTCTTGTCTAAAAGGAGTACTTGACTCAGATGGCTTATCCTCGTCTTTTAAAAATCTATGGGTGCACATATGTATGTATACAAAAAGTGTCTGGAAATATACACCAGAAACTTAACTTTCCTCCTTGGAGATGGTAATGACGGATGCCCTGGAGGAGTGAAGGGAGCATTGATGTTTTACACTTCCAAACTAGTTAAAATTTCTAAGCCCCAAGCATATATTACCTTTATAATTTTAAAAACTGAATGAAAACCAACAAATAAAATCTAGAGCCTAATCTATAAGCCCTAAAAGAAAAAAAGCAGCTCCTGGATTCATGCAGACATACTATAAATATACTGTAGGAATGGGAATGAATCAACAGTTTGAGTCAGGTAGTAACAAATAATACTGGAGTTACATGTAAATGGTTCATTTCAGTCTTGTAAGATGGTTCTGTGCCTGAATCTAGGCACAATTTGTAAAAGTGGAAGAAAAGAACCACCCAATTCATTAGTTATCAGTATGCTGCTCAGTTTGGAAAATAACCAGAATTTGCTTTTGTAGTTACATGAAAACCTTTTTCCCTCCTTTTCCCTTATCTTGTTACACGAAAAAAGAAAACGCTTTAAAATGTGCATACTGCAGCTGTGAACCAAACTCCAGATAAGTTCTCTATACTGATAGATCTTAAGTATAACATTAGAGATTTCAGCCACAGATGCAACGCACATTCAGTCCTCAGCAGATGACAACTCACCATGCACCAGGCACCAGGCTAAGCTCTGGAGATGACAGCACACAAAGGATTCCCACTCTAGCTGGGGAGACAGACAGTGACAGAGTAAACGGTCACAAAAGAGTGATCCTATGCTTGCTGCAAACTGCAAACGCATACTCACATTCCACCTGCTGAAACACTGGTCTTCCCAGGTCGAACGCCAGCTGTTGGCATCCAGAAATGCAAACTCTCTCAGAACACTTAGTCTTAGTCTGTCATAAACCAAAGAAAAAGCATCTCGGGATAGACATGTTAGGGCTAAAAGTTTCTCATTTTTGACACCTTGCTACAATGGGCACAAATCACTTGAATAGACATACCTCTCTTTCGTGAGTAAAAATTGTACATCTGGTTTAAGTGCAGATGCAACACTTCAGTTTGGCACTAAGAGCTCCTTGAAAGTCCCAGCTCCTTTATTCTCTTGTACCTTTAGCAAGTAGAAGTTGAACCACATGAAACTGTTGATATTCAACCATTTCTGACAAAGAAAATCTCATATAGTTCAACCTAAGAGTAGGTACTATGGAAATGCTTGAATGATGGGCTACATACGACTGAAAGTTTTATAGCTATCGACTACATGGACACACGCTCAGAAACCCTGATCTTAGCCATAGCTTCTGGGCACAATATTTCAAAAGTCCTTTCTGTTTTACTAGACTTGTCCTTTTCTGGGCACAATGCCACATTCTTTTGATGGTCAGTGATATTCCTGAGTATCTTATTTTTATCATTTCCTTCAATTTTCCAGGGACATTCATCTAGAATCCTTCAATGTGCGGTGGTTCTTCAATGAATCTTGCGTAACTTCTACTGGTTTCGCTAATCCCACCAACAACGACATCATGGCCAGCAACTGGGGGAAAAACAGCTTGAATTCTACAGAAAACAAATACAGGATTATCCATTTCTCAGTATTTTTAGGTCTCCTGCTTGTGGGGATTCTTGAGCTCCTGTTTGGACTCAGTCAGATAGTCATCGGTTTCCTCGGCTGTCTGTGTGGAGTCTCCAAGCGAAGAAGTCGAATCGTGTAATTTAGTGGCAATAAAACAGAACTATTAGCAGTTTGAATCATTTGAGAATTACATTTAAAAGACATTCTTTTAGACGTCTGAAGTTCAATAGTGGAATATTATCTAGACAGCTGCATGAGTCATTTTAGTCCAAAAGATTGTTTTTAAAGTCACCTCTCAGGTGATTAAAAAAAAAAAATCAAACTGTTACATAGAAAGCATGTTGGTAAATGCATAACGCTTCCATATGGAAAGGAAAAATCAACAGTAGTTAACTTTCGGGAGAAGTAGAGAGGAACTTTCAATTTGTTTTGTATTTTTCTGCAGAATTTTCTAACTCTATAGTCTTGTGTGGAAAGAGGAAGGGCAGCGGGTTGGGGGGGGGGAGAAAAAGGGAGACGGGAGGGAGAAAAAGAAGGAACAGAAGTTATCCTGGAAGTGAAAGTGTGGGACTTTTGTATTGTATTTCTTTATACTTCTTTTTTTTCTTTTTAAGATTTTATTTTTCCCTTTTCTCCCAAAGCCCCCCAGTACATAGTCACGTATTTTTAGTTGTAGGTCCTTCTAGTTGTGGCATGTTGGATGCCGCCTCAGCATGGCTTGATGAGCTGTGTCATGTCTGCGCCCAGGACTCAAACAGGTAAAACCCTGGGCCACTGAAGCAGAGTGTGCAAACTTAACCACTCAGCCACGGGGCCGGCCCCTCTTTATACTTTTAAAAAAAGAATAAATATATAACTTGAATAAAATAAACTTTTAGACAATTTCCAGCTTATAGGAAATCCAGGGAAAGAGGACATACCAGACAAATTCAAAAGGTGGGACAATAAATAGACAATAGCCCCATTTTCAACAAGAAAATGTACAGAAAAAACAAAAGGTGGGATGGGTTGAGGGAACTATTCCAGATTAAGAGAACAAAGAGACGTGATTCAACTAAATGTATTATATGGACCTTACTGGGATAATTGGGGAACCTGTACATAGGTTGGTTTAGGCAATATTGAGGATTTATTGTTAACTTTTTATGTTTCATAATGGTTTTATGGTTATACAGGAAAATATCCTTATTTTTTAGAAAAGAATATTTATATGTTTGGGAGAAAATGTCATGTTTTTAAAATACTTCAGCCAAAAAGTGAAGCAATGGAAAAATGTTGTTATATTCAGGTAATTCATTATATCTTCTCTTTTCCCATGTTTAAATTTTTCACAATAATTAAAAAACAATAAATACCTAAAAAAAAAATCAATCTTTCAAAAGCTGGTTTCTACATACGCCAATCTTTAAAAGACAGGGTAACAAAACGGTCAATTTACCATATTAAAATGTTATAAAACAGACAAAACTAAAAATCTACCATTTTCTGAATGTGATCATTCCTGCATTTTATTTCAATTATTTATGTTCTCTGAGCTTAATGGTCTAGAAATGATTTACAATACCCATATTACAGCTACCCCTCAAAATTAGTAACATCAAGAGCTTACAGGCATTTTTTTCTGAACCCATTTGCTATATAAAGACCTTCTCCCTATGCTCCTATAAATACTCATTTATCCTTATGATTTGGCTTAACTATCTCCCACTTGAGAAAGCCTTCCCAGAGTGCATGATTCCAGCACACTAAGTCAGCTCTGGCCCAAACCACTAACACAATACCTGTCACAATGCAACTTAAATGCTTTTGGTGGTACGTCCAGCACTATAAGAGAATTTCAGAGAACAGGACCATGTCCTTCTCATCCATTTATTCATCAGCTCTTTCCTGCTTCAGGTGCTTAGCAAGGCCTCTCCTTGGCCCAGCCCCCACCCCCTGCCCGTCTCATCTCTGGCTAAGTCCTCTTCATCCTTCAGACTTCAGCACAAATATCACTTTTTCTGAGGATGAAAAACAGGGTTCCTTTAACTCTCTCCTTCAGCATTCCTTCAGTTATAGTACTCATCACAATGGTGACAGCATTTTTATTTGTGCTTATTTCTCAAATTTCACTTTCCCCTAAAAGACCATAAGCTCCATGGGTACAGGGTGTGTTTCTTTTATTCACTCCTAGTACACTCAGTACCAAGTACAGTGCCTGATACTAAGGAGGGCCATTATACATATTTTGTTGAATGAATTAATGAATCCTGTGTTTAGTACTTGGCTTTTGGCAAAGACTCAATGCTTATTAAATGAATGTCAAACTGCAATAGCCATAAAATTAAAACACAAGTAAAATGAACATGACAGCTCACTGTACTTGACTGAACAATACAAGGGTCAGTGATGGTGCACACAATCTTCTCATCACCTTGGAAATGGCTGAGAGCCGACTCCGGTTCTCTACAGGGTCATGAGGAGACAGACTTAAGCCTCCCATTTCAGAGGGCAAAAGAGAAGACGGCTGGCAGTAGTCCAACCAGCTGAAAGAGCTGTTATTTCTTCGATATTCTAGTCTTGTGGAAACTGCTGCCATGAATTCAATGCCCAAACCCTATGGGCCACTTGTGGTTAGGTATTTTTGGGGACGTGCCATCTCTGCTCTGGTACCTAAACTTACAAATGCAAGTCTGTACATGTATGCACACAGTATGCACCTGATCACTTACGAAGCTCACTGGTTGTTATTTTTCACTTCTGTTCCCATGTTCAATCTCATTTTGAAATCTTTGCACTTTTATTTTTTTACTGTATGTCCACCATCTGAAACACTCTCCCCTCGGTATCCTTCAGCATATATCTCGAGATGTTCTCCTCAACAAAATTGCTTTTATCATCTTCTAATTCTTTAATAAACCTTATTGCCCTCCTCCTCCATTAACCTGTCAATTCCTTAAAAGCAGGGCCGGGGGGGTATCTGCTCTAACCTCTGAGTGCTTGAGTCAGGGCCGTGCACACACGAGTCTCTACTTATTGATATGATTATATATTGTAAGTACAGAATGGTTATGGTAAATTAAACCTTTCCTAAACTGACGCCCAGAAAAACAGTTCAATCTCAATGTCAAATATAATTAGGAAACTGCAAAACAGACATTCATGCAGGAAAGGAAGAAAAGTGGTCTTGAAAATACACTTTCATAAAATTATCCCTCAAAATGTAAATAACTTGCAAACGCTCCAACAAGTACTCCTAGACGCAGAAAACAAAACAAAACCTTTACAGGAGTTCTGAGAGTACCGTAACAATGTCCTTGCTATACTTAGCTGTATAACGCGAGTGAGTGTGGTAGGTTGATCACTGTATTACTCGCCCTGACTGCACCCTTTTCTTGAGCTGGTCCCTGCACCTGGAATCTTTTCTTCAATCGCTGCTTGCTGAAATCCTGTATTTATTTCCAGGTTCAGCTCAAATCTCACTCTAAGAAGTATTTCCTGACTATCCTAGCCAGGAGTGAGTTTGTTCCTCTCAATTCCAAAACCACTTTCTTCCAGTGATCAACAACTTCCAGGGGAGGGGGGCTGGCACAGCAGAGCCTGGCTCTGGAGCTAAGGAGATTCAAGCCCTTCTCTTTTTAGATCTGTGACCCAGTGAAGACATGTTTCTTTGTTGTCCCCTTTGGGATGGTAAGCTGACTTCTCATTCACCCTTTCACCGAGGGAGCTATCTTTCGGGGTCCCACCTTCATGCAGGAGTCTCCTGTGGTGGCTAGTGCCTGCCCAAGACATGGAATTGTATCTCCTGCCCCCCTGCACAGCCATTAAGGGAGAAACTTCTAGGTCTCCAGTGTTTGGTAAAAATCAACAGAGAGAAAAAGTGCTTTTGTGTTCGCCGATCTCCTGGAATTCCTGCTTTTGTTTCACATGTTTGGCCTTTAAGGAATCCTTTTCATGCCTGTCCAGCAAAGAGGTGCTAATTTTAGTCATCATTTTTGTGGCTTCAGTTGGGAGGATCACTCACAGAAATTATTTCATGATATATATAAAGCTAGAATTATTATAATTACACCATCAGGATATTATAAAAGTTGGGAGACTTTTATGGGTGAAAAAAAAAATATCATAGAGAGAGGATTGGCAACAGATGTTAGCTCACAGCCAATCTTCTTCATAAAAGAAAAAAGAAATCAACAAACTGATGATAAACCCTAGGAAGTACAGAGAAGAATCCTTCCTCCTAGTATTTTTTTTGAAAGAATAGGGCAGAAGGAAGACTAGAAACATTAAATCTACCCATATCTAAGGAATTTCCCTCAACTGCCTTTCCCAAAACTCACTGCCTTGGAAGAAAGATATCAAAGATTTGTGGAGAATACTGCACCTAACTAAAATTCTATCCATTTCTGAACCAAAAAAAGGAAAAAAAAAAAAACAGATTTTGAGAGCTAAAGGTTCCCAGGACTTGGTTTCATTGGTGCATTGAATTCTTATGAGATTTAGTATCAATTAGTGAAATACTACAATAGAAAAAGCATGCACACCTCAAGGTATTTTCATCTGAACTAGACACTACCAATCAGAAAAGCACCTGTAATGCAACCAGCGCCTACCACTGCCAGGACGAGGGTCTGAGAGGAAGCAGGAGGTTCTGGCTGCCTGCCATTAATGAATCATTTGCTCCTGAGACGGGAGAACTCAGGCTCTATAAGGTAAGAGGACAGGAATACAGCACAAAATGATGAAATAACGTCTTTCAATAGACAAACATTGCTCTGTTGATGGTTTATTAAATACACCACATTTGTACCTTACTCTGTAGTTTTTTAAATCATTCACACATGGACTTAGTAAAAACATACTTTCTAGAAAACCATCTGCAAAACTAAAATAAAAATAAGAACACACATTTTACACAAATATTAGATAAACCGCTGAAAATGTTCAGGATTATTTTAATGAAGGTGATTGTGAAATGCGATGTGGCTTGATTTTATTAACTCTGACACCAGACCATGACTTTGGAAGTGTTAAGACTGAAATGTGGATGCAAAAATGTCTATTAACAAAACTGCTTCCTCTAATAATTTGAGAAACAGGACAAAATAAAGTATTATTTTTCTTTTACAGATACTTTTCTAAATCCATTCTCTATGCACTCTCTTTCCCATTCAGTGAATTAGTTGGGCAGACTGATGAGGCAAAAAATTAACTCCTCAAAAAAAACCCCCCAAACTACAGCCTATTTACAAAACATGCAAAGGGAGAATTTTAAGTAGGTGTTACTGCAGAACTGGTTAACAGTGACTACAGCTGAGTGTCATAATATACCTTTACTTCTGCAAATATAAGTCCTTCCCCCTCCTTTGTGCAAGAAATACATTTTCAGGGTATAGACTATAAAACAGCATACAATGCAAAGACAGAAACAAAGAAGTTTGCAAATTCTTTATATTTCCAGCTGTTGAGACAATATTTTTGAGAGCTGAGGTTACCTCTAGCGGCGAAACCAGAGCCAGCTATTAAGCAGCCAGAATGCTACAGTAATGGAATACATGACCATTTCTCTTTTAGCACGTTCTTTGTTCTCCTCTTCTAGAAGTTGTAGACGTCTGTTTAGCTTGATTATCTACGTGAAAAACAAACAACAAAAAACAAAATAGATGCTT